GTGCCAGCCCCCGGCGCCGCGCGCCGCGGGCAGGGAAGGTCGGCCTCTCGCTTCAGGGGGAACAGGATTAGTCACTCAGCCGTGGCCTTTCCAGATTGAATCGGCTTTATTTAATGAAAATGCAAACCATCCATTACAAATGCCTGGATTTGTAGACATTCACAACACAATTGTGTTGTGAAAGTGAATTTAGCATGAAATTAGTTTCAGATAGGGAGAAAGCCAGATGCTGTTTTTGCCCATAGTGTTTCCTGCAGTCCTCGCGGGCGCAACCTTCCCATTGACTGCGGTGGGAGCTGCGGCTGAGAGTGAGCACTGAAGGGACTGATCCGTAAGGTTCCCCTGACGTTTAGTAGCCCCCCAGCAGTTAGTTCTTGCTGAACATCCTCTGAACCACCCACCGCATTTTATGCTTACCCCCTGAGGATTGTATTTTCTCATCATTGGTCACAGTTTACAAATAGTTTTCCCCTCCTGGATCTCTTGAAAGCGTCCAATTCTCTAAGCTTACTTTGAACTGCAGTTTGCTCTGTCTACTCATCTTTCTCGGTTGTAACCAGAAAATGCATTTCATTTATTGTCTTGCATTATGGAAAATTTGGTGCAAGTAACATAGAGAGACTCTAAGCAAATCTGGAGAAGATGGGCTTGATCCTATCCGAGTGCTGTGCTTCCCACCTGACTGAATGATTACAATTTTTGATACAACACACTGGACTAAAATTAGTTATATTTACACTATATAGTATAATAATAATAGCATAATTATATTATACTATATGCAACTTAATTAGGAAAACAGAAGCTACCGCTCTTTCATGAATAATTCTATATTTATGAAAATAGTTTTTGTTTGAAAAGGCCAATGATATGAGTAGCGACTGTTCATACAGTTAGTTAGGCAAGGCATTCATATACCAGTCTGGCTTTTAATCTGGGGTGGCTCCACTGTTTGTACTTACCAGTGATACAGTCTTTAGCAATGGCTAGGATATGCTGCAGTAGGGTGAGCTGTTCCCCTGTCTTATGTTAAATTGATCTTTCTTACATTTTGGCTATTTCTGTTTGATGCCAAAGGTGTTACGTACTGTACATTCTGCAAATTACAGCCTCCTCCTCCTGTAGTTTGTAAACTAAATAGAAGGTATGGATCTGTCAGGGATGGCAAACCTTCTAACGTAGTATCACTAGGAAATTGTTAAACCTGACAGGAATATCATCCGCGTGGAGCATGCCACTGATCTAAGTTAGTCAAATCTGTTTACCTCAACTCTCAGGTGTAACACCCAACAGAGGATTGAACTTTTCAAAGAAAAGTGTTAGCTGTAAGATGAAAACAATGGGAGGAAAGGAACTGACTGTCTAAACAGCATCAGCCCAGCGTTAGGGCGTTTTGGGAGGCGGAGGGAGGGGGGGGAATCGCAGTCATCTTCAAGGATACAGTAACACTTCTAATCACCATTTCTTCTTACAAAGGAAAGGGTGTTGCTGATTGCTCAGCACCTTTCAGGAGTGAGCTCATGGGAGCGCCACTGAATTTGGTAGGACAACGCTCTCAGCGAGTCTCAGGACTGGCCCAGGTTTTAAGCATAAAGCAGGAAATCTGAGTATTCCTGTGATGAGGGCAGAGCACAGAAGTCACAGGGTGGCTGCAAAAATGCCTGCTGATATACCCTGCATGTTACACTCAGGGTGAGATTCAGGGATTCATTTCACCACAAAAAACATGGAATTAATTGATATCTCTTGAAGTCTGGGCGCTGGAGTAAGTACATATAGGATACAGCCCATCCCTGACTTCTTGCAGGCGAGACCAGGCTGCTCTGCCAGGTCTTTACAGCCACTGGGAGCCCCAGGTAGTGGTTAAGGCATGTAGCTGTCAAATACTCAGTGCCCCTCACAGCCTAGTGCCATCTCTGTGCTAAGCTCCGTCCTGGCACACGGTCATCTGGTACCACAGGGGGTAGGTACTGTTTGGCCCCTTGCCTCTCGGGGTCTCAGGAAGTTGGGGATCATTTGCCTTTGATCTGTAATTGTTCTACTACCTCAGTGACACCCATGGGGTGCGGCAAAATGCTAACGCAAGTTTGCCATGGCACATTTCCTGCTATGACAAATTTCTAGAGAGTCTGTTGTTACATGCTGCTGCTGTTACTGATGGTAAGGGCTGAGCCAAGGAACCCTTGTTTGACCCTTAAATGGGGACCACATTGTAAGAGACAAGGGTGTCTTACCAGAGAAAGCAGCCTTCACAATAGAAGGAAATGTCTATGAGAAAAGAGAAAAAGGAGCTGGTCTAGGAGCTGGAGCACTAGCTTGATTTTTGGACACCTGGTCTTTGCTCTACTCCAAGCTTCCTGTGTGACTTGGAGCAAGGCATCTGAGCATCTAAATCCCTTTGTGGATATGGCTGTACCTTCCCATAAGTTTCCTCAGGAGTTCAGGCATGCCAGGAGCCTAGATGCCTTTGTGTACCTGGCCCTTAATTTCATTGCACCTTGGTCCCTTGTCTTTAAGGTGGGAGTACCAGTGTTACCTGTCTCCCAGATCTGTAGTGAGGAAAACGCTATTAAATGTAACAAGATTCTTGGCTGAGGTGGTATAAAAAGGCCCTTATATTTAATACGTCTGTTAAGTCCTTATATCTTCATAGTAATAATAAATAAGTATCTTACTGTATGCAGTTGGCTCTCTCTGGCACTGTAAAAACTCCACTGAACGAAGAAATTTCCCAGCAGCTCAGAGCTCGTATATGTGCAGAGGAGAGTTGCATTTCCGCCTGTAGTGACATTCACTATCTTCTGTGGAACAGTCACCACGATGCTGCTGACAGCAAGACCTGCCGCAACGAGGAAGGGAGAGAGGCATCAGCCAGGGCTGCCCCATCAGTTGGGCTGAGGCTCCTCATGCCCAGCTTCAGGAGAGAAACCTGTATGTGCCCAGTACTTCTCTGGTCAGTACGGTTTGCCTTGGGCTTTGTGTGGAAATTTTAGTGATAAACTGGGAATAGGTAAAAGCTACAAGGAAATAGATCCCCCAGAACTCCTGACCTCTTAAAACAAATCATATTCCAGAAACACAGAGTTCCTAAAAATATACTTGTTTTCACCTGCAGAGACTTGTCTTCTCACTAAGAGCTTGCAGCTAAACCAAACCTTTCTTCTACCCTGCTAGCGCTCTCCTGAGCTTCACATTCTTATTCGCAGCTGTCTTTAGCCCTTTCTCATGCTCCTGTTTCACAGTTATCCTTCTGAGGTCACATCTTTTTTACCTGTGGGTCACCATCTGCTGCAGACCATGTTTCTTATGTTCTTACATCCCACCTCTGACACATCAGCACTGCTGGGCTCCCCCAGCCTGGGATCCTGCAGCCTTTTGCTATTTCCTCAGCTTTTGTTTAGGTTTCTTAGCTCATATGCAAATATCTTTCTCTTCTGATGCCTTTACATTGCAAGCTTCAAACTAGATTTTTGGAGTCGCTTTTATTGTGCGAGTTGTGAGAAATTCTGTGGAAACCTGATGACCCTTTCTGTCATGCTCTGAACAAAAAGGGAGCGAACACAAAGCCTTCTGCATAAAGCTGTGATCGGTCCTGTCTAGAGAGCCATGTTAGTGACAGGAATTGTGCATCATCCAACAGCATTTATCCCTTTCTGTCCTCCATTGAAGTTAATAGGAATGGTAACACACGACAACAAAGCTAGAGCTCTCAGTAAAAATAAAAGTCTGAATTTCAGGACTTTGCTTGGCTGTTGAGTCCAGTTTTAAAGCTACTATCTAAAGATTCTGAAAGTGAAAATATTTCTTTCAACATGCTGGAAAATACAAGTCTTTTGGAACTGTCTGTGGTAAAAGGAATGAGGCAAGAACTTCATGTTAGATAATTTTCCTGTGGATGTATGAATGATAAAGGCAAAACATGCAAAATATTCTTATCTTAATGGAATATCTATGCATCCTTTCTTGGGCTGCTGCCTGTGACAGTTTCAGCAGAACCTCCAGTAGCACCAAAAGAGTTTTTTTCTCAGATTATCAGCCATATGAAAGGAAACATTGTTTAAAAAAGAAATATCAATTATTTCACCATTTTTAACCATGTAAATATTCCAGGTTCATCAGCTCCTAGCATATGTAAATCTATCTGAACCTAGAATCTAAACTTTTGGGGCAGAAGCCCGTTTCCCTTCTTTTATGGCTCAAATATTAAAAGCCTGCTGCAAGGAAGAAGGGAATAATCTACTTTCCATGTCTTTGGTGGCTAGGATGAGAACTAGTGGGCTCAAATTGCACCAAGTAAGCTTCAAGTATTTGTAAGGACACTCTCATGGAAGTGGTTGCAGACTGATCTAAATTCATGTTGATCCTGCCTTGGGAAAGAAAGGATCTCAATGCTCTGCTCTCAAGTCCTGCTTGTCCTGTGAGTTCACAACAGCTTAATCCTTATTGTCGTCTAATATAAAATCCATGTAATATTATTGCAGGTGTCGCTGATCACCGTTCTCCTCAACTTTAACAATTAGAGCTGGCCAGAGGATGATAGTTTCTTGCCACAATAATACTTTCAGGTTTACTGGAAGTACTTGTTTTCTGATCGTCATTGGAATAAAGCTATGGTCTTTCAGTGCAGTGACATTCTACTGAAAACATTCATTTTCCAGTCATCTGCACCACATATTTCCTTCATCTGCCTGTGTTTCTGAAGTCGGGAGTGCCACAGAGCCTGGACATTATAAGCTTTTCCAGAGGAAATTAATTTTAGTGTAAATGACTCCACAAAACATGCTAGTTTCCATGAAGGTGTATATTTTGAATAAAATACATTTAGTTAAAATAGGCGTAGTTTTGCTCAGCCCTAGTAAGCATATAAAGCCGAGACCTGTAAAATTGTCTTTGTCCAGCAAGGCCATCACTAGCAGTCAGGTAGTGCTTTTGACTGCAAATGGAGGAGGCTGGACCCGCACAGCCCATTCCCACACCACTGAAGTTAATGGCAGTTTTGCTTTGCATTTAATTCACTGTTTGCAGCTTCAAACTAATAATCCCATTTCACACATACTATCCTGTTGATTTAAGTGAAAGAAAGTGCATAACTAAGAAATAACTTAGTGAGAAGGGCTTGTGTGAACAGGACTTAGCCTGTTATTAAAAGTAACTCAGTTAAAAGCTGATCTGTCTCATCACTCTTCAGTATTATTGTGAGGCCATTTCCTTGCTGCAGAGAAAGTCACTGCAGGTTTTTAACGCTAACAGAGTAAATATAAGTTTGCTGAACTTTATTTTTTGCTGACCTTTTGCTGCAAAATCTCCAGTTTGTGGTGCCCCTCAGTATGGCCACAGTGTTAGTCTTAAATCCAGAACTTTAAAATTAGAGGGTGCTGTTTTGCCAAATATTTGTACTAACACTGAATTCCTTTTAATTTCTAAGGCAAAAAGCTACGGGTTTTGTGTATGTGAGAGACATATCATACAAACATCATAAACAACCGTTTAAAATATTTCTGTGACATCCAAAACAGATGATTCCATCTAGAAGATAAAGTGTAGAAACCAACTACCATTTTCTTTAGTGGCTACAGAGGCTGCTCATCATCTTGTAGCATTAGACTTAAAAAAATCTATTTCTGTAGATATTAAAAATTAGGCTTAGCACAGCAAAGTGTCCTTGAAACATGAATAACGTATAACCTGTAATACACCATAAAAATCCTCAACACTGCAAAGTATTATGGCCTTGCATAACTTCACTGAAAACCAAAGGATTAATTGCATGCTCAAAGTTAAGCAACGCCTAATTTTTGGTGAGGATTGGACCAAGGTATCATTTCCCATGGATATTATCAAGAGGGGACAAAACCCGAAAGTGAGAAAAGCTAACCTTGAAACACTTGCAAAAGAGTAAAGGTCTGGGCATGAGCTCTTTGCCTCTTCCTGGCTTTAGAGCAAAGCATTAATTTATCCTAAGACAGGCTAAAACTGTATTCCTGAGCAAAAAACTCTATCGGTAAGTGGTCAGCTTGCACCTTTCCACAAGATGGTATAAGCATTATGGTCATAATTTTCATTCCATCTAGAAATAAATCTTGAATGTTCTCCTGGTTTGCCAGCCAGGTTCACCTGCTCTCTTATTTCAACCTGTTCCTTTATGTCAGTGTTATTTGAATCAGTTTGTTTTCTTACCTGGAAGGGTGGTTAGAACAGAAAGTATCTTCAGCATTGTTGCAAACATCTTGAAGTCCGGAAAGAAAAGAGACTAGATGCTGCTTCTGACTTTGACTAAAACTCAACAGTTGGGTTTTTTTTTTAAGTGGGTTTTTGTTTTCCTTATCAGCTGTGTATCAACACGTCAATGAGCCTTTTCATTCTCCTTCATTATCGCATGTGTGCTTTTCTCCAACTAGTGGTGTGACTGTTCAGCTGAAACCATTTCGTGAGGTGTGAGTAACTGAGTGTTTTGTTAATAATAAACCTCTGAATCAGAGAAGCCTAGATTCTCCCACCTTTACCTAGGCCCAACCGTATTTGTCTGCGTTGGTACTTCAACTTTGTGGAGCAACTTAACAGTCAATCTAATTACCAGTGTTGGAGACAGGCCTAACATGAATAAGGACTAATCTTTATTTCCTATTAATTCTATCTTTTTTTAATGGGTATGTGAAGATAATTGTTAGTAGATTTCTATTTTAAAGTGTATTTCTCATGCAGTTTTATACAGAATGATTACATTGGACTCATTAGTGCCTTGAAATGTCTATAATGAACTCCTCATCAATAAGATAAACACACCAAAATACACATAGGAAACTTTATAATCCAAACTCATGAAACAATCAGATCTATCCAGTTTTAATCCATGTAGCTGGATGCTACTAATACAAAAATGACAACATGAATATATTGATTTGTATTTAAATACTAATACCTGATTTATTTTATGAAAAAGTAGTGGGTGAAGCTTAGGACTTGGAGAACTAGGTTCTGGTGTTGACTGCTGTAGGAACTAGTGCCGTAAAAACATAAGAGTATTGTTATTACGATAACTTACAGTTGATTAGTTTGTCCTTAATGAGTGCAAAACACCTTCCATAAGTCAGTGAAGCTGCCTAGGAACAGAAGGTGCTCAGTTTCTTGTAGGACCCAACTTTGCTTTCTTTATTCCATGTCATTAGATTGAGACTAATTCAAAGCCCCAGCTGGAGAGGAGAGTAGCTGGCTCAGCATATGCAGCCATGCATGAGTAGCTGAAGACATAGCAGAGGACAGCAACGCTTTTCAGGTGTGCGTCTGCATCTATGAACAACATAATGAAAATGGCCAGCGCCTTTTTCCCAACCTAGGGAAAAGATGGGTCTAGTTCACAGCTGATGCTATGCTGTGCTTGCCAGTGGTGGGCAAGTGGGCTACCCTTCCCATGACTGGGGTCATGTTGCAGCTGGGGAAAGCCTTTTGGCCTGTGGGGCTCAGCACCTGGCCGTATGCAACTGGAAAGGAGAGGGATTTCCAGGCTTGTGCTCACCTCTGATGTGATGCAGTTCTGCAGTACAAATGTGGTGAGTTGCTAGTTGAGTCGGTTATTATTGGGATCAGGTTTATGGACTTAGGTGGATTTTATTCTGCATCTGATATTTCTGTGGATGGCAGATGCCCAAACAATCTCAGAGTGGATGTCAGCATTTGACAGTATGGTGTGAACCATCTCAAAAAGTTTTATAAAAGATATCTTCTCCTCAGTTCTGACTTACAGAGTGGCACACAGCATTCCTACAGGGTAGGCAGTGCTTTCCTTTCATTGACGGGGAAGATGGGACTTGGAACAGTTAAATGACTCACCCAAGTGACCCAGAGGCCGGAGGCATTTAAAGACTAAAATTCAGATTTAGGTTTCTTCCAAAATGTGAAAAGTGTTCAGATTCACCTTACTGACCTTTTTCTAAAGAAGCATGGAGGGATCCCAAGAGCGTACGGGAAGTTCTCACTGGCTTTCTCAGGATCAGCCTAAAATGTGAGCCGCTGGTATTTTCCAGTCAGGAAACCTGTTCTGGACATGAGCACGATCTATAGACCCATTCCAGTAATAGCCTCTGGCAGCTCTGTAGTTCCCACAAGGAGTCTGACTAGCAGCTCACAGAGCATTAATCCTTCGCAAAAGCCAGCAGTTTTCAAGCAGATGCAAAAAATGCTGCCATCTCCATCTGCAGGTTGCCACACACGTGCATGGTCTTGTATCTGTACCACAATATCAGTGTGTCCTCTAATTCCCTCTCATTTATCAACCCTGAAATCCTTTCTCTGATGCTTAAGGCACCCTCAGCTAATACATATCGTCTCCCTGTTCTGTTCACTTGTTGTGATTTTAGTGCTCTGAAAGATCACAGAACTACGTTCCTGGAGGGTAAAATGCTCAGTTTAACCAAAGAACAGGGGCCAGTAACACAACTTTTGCACTAATATGGGCCCATTTAAGCCTGGGATGCTGGGCTGAGATTCCTGATTATGCAGTGGGTGTTTCTTGTAGCAAGTGATTACAGTCATCAATCCTATTTTGCGGAAGCTATCAAAGACCAGTAGCATTACCTTTTGACTATTAGCAGCCTGGGGCTCTTTTCACACCGGCAAACTAGAAGTATGTATCCTAATACTAATCTTCCAAGCCATCCAGGGTTATTCTCCTGTGAAGCTGATAGATGGTACCTGTCACTTGCTATTACGTTTCTAACTCATTGCTACTAGACAGCAGCACTGCCTGTTCAGAAGTCACCTAAGAAAAAGAAGTGAACATAGAAAGCAAAATCTGGTTTGTTCTGGGTTGATGATAATTAAAATTAAGTTAGCCTGGCATGACAAGGAAGCTGTGGTTTACTCTGCAGCCCTGCTGCCCTCGGCAAAGACGAGAGAAGAGCCCAGAGTACAACGGCAGCAATTGCCTTGCCATAGGTGGAGCGGGGACTCTTATCTCGAGATAAAATGGAAGGGGCCAGTACCAGGAACAGTATGTTAACAGACTTTGTGACTCAAATGTATGTACACCGAAGCATGTTCAGACAGGTTCCCTTCCAAGTAACTCCCTGTATTCGCTCTATAAATAGAAGCGGCCCACAGGCACACTCAGAGAGGCAGCAGGCCTTTCTAGGCAGCATTGCCTAGGCAAGCGCTTAGATGGTACTTAAAGGTTGCTTCTGTCTGCCTGAAACCTAATTAAGAAAATTCCTGCAGAAGTCCATATTTAACATGACTAAGCTCAATAGTACTTAAAGCCCTTTGTGTTTCTGCAATATGCTGAATATGTGATTGTTCAAAGACACGAAACCCAACAGGACATGATTCACAAAGCTAATTCAGTATCACATCTGATTGCTGGGGACGAAGAGCAGAATATTATTAAAGATTCAAATAAGTAGAGTAAAAGAATTTTCTTAAGCCTCTAAATCCACCATGAAGTTGACTTTCAAATGCACTTTACAGTTTGCTTGCTCGTTGCTCAGCCTCATTTGTTGTCCAAGAAATATTTATAGGCTGTTGCTGAAGTGTTTGCTGCCCGAGAGTTAATTCATGAACTCACTGTTGTTATAAACTCAGGGAGAGCAAAAGTCTGTAAAGGTAGCAGTAATGCAAACTCTTCTGAGAAGAGCACCCTAGTTTATCACCTCAGAATACATCTGTCAGAAATATACTCTATCCTCTGTAACCATTAGCTTGAAGTTGTCCTTGTGTTATTCCATTAGTCCTTACAGTTCTTCCCACAGCACCGTGCTGCACGCGTGATGGGCGGCTGGGCAGCACATGGAGCCCTTTCTGCTACTGCCGGGGAGGAGGATTTCTTACCAGTGCATGGCCAGCCCTTCCTGCTCCTAGGGTGCTCCTTGGCTTAACTGGGAGGGCTGGGCCGCAGCGACAGCTCCAGGCCCCCTCTGCCGGGCCGTTCAAGGTGTTTGTAGTGTAAGATGATACATATGAGACTCTTGATGGGTGGGGGACCACATGTGGTATCAGAACCCCAAATCAACCCGCCCTCTGCATGCACTTCTTGAGCCCAGTCTTACCAAGCTGGGTCTACCTCAGTAAGTATCCCAGCATCCTGCCGAACAGTCAGATCCAAGTGCCCTTTCCCCCTTGGGCAAGGGGGGGTTTCCCGCTTGAGCCTGCTGCTGGCTATGCCACATTTTCTTCTGAGTTCACTAACCTAGCAAAAAAACATGCCACCCTGAGCTCTGTCTCACTCTCCTGCTTTCAGGCACCTGCTTTTCTTATTGTTAAAGAGCACAAAGCCATTCCCCAGTAAAGGCAGCAGGACAGGTCTTTTCTATGTTACCCTTCTTCTCGCTCCAGAAACAGAACGTATTTTTCCCTTTAAACCATTCAAAAGGCAGGCTACCCTGGAGTAAACTCTTTATCCAACAAAATTCCCTCTTTTGGGGTGAAGAAAAAGCACAAAATGAGATTCACCAGACCAGCGGTTGCCAGGAGACTGGAGGGCTGCACAGCCAGTCACCGGCATGTTGGTCTGGGCTTGGTCTTCTCCCAAGACGGTGGACAGGGCTGGGCTCGTACCTGGGCTTCCTGACTTCCTCCATATGTTTTTTTGCCAGCCGATGACTCAAAGTGTGTTTCTCGGGCAAGGCAGAGCAGTGTGTGTCCACATGTCACCTCTGGCTATACGGCCCTCCCGCGCCTGTGCCCTGAGGACTGCATAAAAGGCGCTGGGTCAGCGCCGTGGTGTATCCTGGGGCGTTTCTAGCAGCCCGAGGCAGGCCTGCTTTCGGCCTTGCCTGCGGATCAGCAGCATTAGCCCCAGAGATGAACCTGGCTGTCCTGTGAGCAGCGTGCTGCACATCGCGCTGTGCTGAATCCAGGGCTCGCCTGCTGAGCGCGGCTGGGATAGCTCCTGCGTCGACAAGCGAGCTGTCAGGGCGCGTTAGCGATTCGCTGGGCGCCTGTGCTGAAGTCGTTAGCCCGGGGTGCGGCTAGGGGTGCTCATGAGCGCTCGAGGTCTTCGGTTTTGTTCCTGAAACTTACTGAAATCAAATGGAAATGTGCAGAGAAAGTCATTCCCGTGTCTAGCATGATCTTCACTGGAGTACGCTGGACTGCAGTGCTAGTCTGGAAATGCCCCCCAGCTGTTCAGGGGGACATAAATACTTTTCTTGTCGAGGCTGCGGCTGCGTTCCTCACTTACCTAATACCCGGTGCCGTTTTGCTCACGGTCGGGGTTACTGTAGAATTGCACGCAAC